CTGTGATTTTATTACTGATGTGATTTTATTACTGACTGTGATTTTATTACTGACGACTGTGATTTTATTACTGATGACTGTGATTTTATTACTGATGACTGTGATTTTATTACTGACGACTGTGATTTTATTACTGATGACTGTGATTTTATTACTGATGACTGTGATTTTATTACTGACGACTGTGATTTTATTACTGATGACTGTGATTTTATTATTGACGACTGTTGTTTTATTACTGCTGACTGTTATTTTATTACTGGTGACTGTGATTTTATTACTGATGTGATTTTATTACTGACGACTGTGATTTTATTACTGAAGACTGTGATTTTATTACTGTGATTTTATTACTGATGACTGTGATTTTATTACTGATGACTGATGACTGTGATTTTATTACTGATGACTGTGATTTTATTACTGATGACTGTCATTATGTTACTGATGACTGTGATTTTATTACTGATGACTGTCATTATGTTATTGATGACTGTGATTTTATTACTGACGACTGTGATTTTATTACTGATGACTGTGATTTTATTACTGATGACTGTGATTTTATTACTGATGACTGTGATTTTATTACTGATGTGATTTTATTACTGATGACTGTGATTTTTTTACTGATGTGATTTTATTACTGATGACTGTGATTTTATTACTGATGACTGTGATTTTATTACTGATGACTGTGATTTTATTACTGACGACTGTGATTTTATTACTGATGTGATTTTATTACTGATGACTGTGATTTTATTACTGATGACTGTGATTTTATTACTGATGACTGTGATTTTATTACTGATGACTGTGATTTTATTACTGACGACTGTGATTTTATTACTGATGACTGTGATTTTACTACTGACGACTGTGATTTTATTACTGATGACTGTGATTTTATTACTGACAACTGTGATTTTATTACTGATGACTGTGATTTTATTACTGATGACTGTGATTTTATTACTGACGAATGTGATTTTATTACTGACGACTGTGATTTTATTACTGATGACTGTGATTTTATTACTGACGACTGTGATTTTATTACTGATGACTGTGATTTTATTACTGACTACTGTGATTTTATTACTGATGACTGTGATTTTATTATTGACGACTGTTGTTTTATTACTGATGACTGTGATTTTATTATTGATGACTGTGATTTTATTACTGATGTGATTTTACTACTGACGACTGTGATTTTATTACTGATGACTGTGATTTTATTACTGATGACTGTGATTTTATTACTGATGACTGTGATTTTATTACTGATGTGATTTTATTACTGACGACTGTGATTTTATTACTGATGACTGTGATTTTATTACTGATGTGATTTTATTACTGATGACTGTGATTTCATTACTGATGACTGTGATTTTATTACTGATGACTGTGATTTTATTACTGATGACTGTGATTTTTTTACTGACGTGATTTTATTACTGATGTGATTTTATTACTGATGACTGTGATTTTATTACTGATGACTGTGATTTTATTACTGATGACTGTGATTTTATTACTGACGACTGTGATTTTATTATTGATGTGAATTTATTACTGACGACTGTGATTTTATTACTGACGACTGTAATTTTATTACTGTTGACTCTGATTATATTACTGATGACTGTGATTTTATTACTGATGAGATTTTATTACTTACTAATGTGATTTTATTACTTAGGACTGTGATTTTATTACTGACTGTGATTTTATTACTGATGACTGTGATTTTATTACTGATGACTGTGATTTTATTACTGATGACTGTGATTTTATTACTGATGACTGTGATTTTATTACTGATGACTGTGATTTTATTACTGATGACTGTGATTTTATTACTGATGACTGTGATTTTATTACTGATGACTGTGATTTTATTACTGATGACTGTGATTTTATTACTGATGACTGTGATTTTATTACTGATGACTGTGATTTTATTACTGATGACTGTGATTTTATTACTGACGACTGTGATTTTATTACTGATGACTGTGATTTTACTACTGACGACGGTGATTTTATTAATGATGACTGTGATTTTATTACTGATGACTGTGATTTTACTACTGACGACGGTGATTTTATTACTGATGACTGTGATTTTATTACTGATGACTGTGATTTTATTACTGATGACTGTGATTTTATTACTGACGACTGTGATTTTATTACTGACTGTGATTTTATTACTGATGACTGTGATTTTATTACTGATGACTGTGATTTTATTACTGATGACTGTGATTTTATTACTGATAACTGTGATTTTATTACTGATGACTGTGATTTTATTACTGATGACTGTGATTTTATTACTGATGACTGTGATTTTATTACTGATGACTGTGATTTTATTACTGATGTGATTTTATTACTGATGACTGTGATTTTATTACTGATGAATGTGATTTTATTACTGATGACTGTGATTTTATTACTGATGTGATTTTATTACTGATGAATGTGATTTTATTACTGATGACTGTGATTTTATTACTGATGACTGTGATTTTATTACTGATGTGATTTTATTACTGATGACTGTGATTTTATTACTGATGACTGTGATTTTATTACTGATGACTGTGATTTTATTACTGATGACAGTGATTTTATTACTGATGACTGTGATTTTATTACTGACTGTGATTTTATTACTGACTGTGATTTTATTACTGATGATTTGATATTACTGATGACTGTGATTTTATTACTGATGACTGTGATTTTATTACTGATGACTGTGATTTTATTACTGATGACTGTGATTTTATTACTGATGACTGTGATTTTATTACTGATGACTGTGATTTTATTACTGATGTGATTTTATTACTGACGACTGTGATTTTATTACTGATGACTGTGATTTTATTACTGATGACTGTGATTTTATTACTGATGACTGTGATTTTATGATTTTATTACTGATAACTGTGATTTTATTACTGACGACTGTGATTTTATTACTGACGACTGTGATTTTATTACTGACGACTGTGATTTTATTACTGATGACTGTGATTTTATTATTGATGACTGTGATTTTATTACTGATGACTGTGATTTTATTACTGATGACTGTTATTTTATTACTGACGACTGTGATTTTATTACTGTGAATTTATTACTGACGACTGTGATTTTATTACTGACGACTGCGATTTTCTTACTGACGACTGTGTTTTAATTACTGATGTGATTTGATTACTCACGACTGTGATTTTATTACTAATGTGAGTTGATTACTGACGACTGTGTTTTTATTACTGATGTGATTTTATTACTGACGACTGTGATTTTATTACTGATGACTGTGATTTTATTACTGATGACTGTGATTTTATTACTGACGACTGTGATTTTATTACTGATGACTGTGATTTTATTACTGACGACTGTGATTTTATTACTGATGACTGTGATTTTATTACTGATGACTGTGATTTTATTACTGACGACTGTGATTTTATTACTGATGACTGTGATTTTATTACTGACGACTGTGATTTTATTAATGATGACTGTGATTTTATTACTAATGTGATTTTATTACTGACGACTGTGATTTTATTACTGATGTGATTTTATTACTGACGACTGTGATTTCCTTACTGATGACTGTGATTTTATTACTGATGTCTGTGATTTTATTAATGATGACTGTGATTTTATTACTGACGACTGTGATTTTATTACTGATGTGATTTTATTACTGACGACTGTCATTTATTACTGATGACTGTGATTTTATTACTGACGACTCTGAGTTCATTACTGATGACTGTGATTTTATTACTGACGACTGTGATTTCCTCACTGATGACTGTGATTTTATTACTGATGACCGTGATTTTATTACTGACCACTGTGATTTTATTACTGACGACTGTGATTTTATTACTGACGACTGTGATTTTATTACTGACGACTGTGATTTTATTACTCACGACTGTGATTTATTACTGACGACCGTGATTTTATTACTGATGACTGTGATTTTATTACTGATGACTGTGATTTTATTACTGATGACTGTGATTTTATTACTGATGACTGTGATTTTATTACTGATGACTGTGATTTTATTACTGACGACTGTGATTTTATTACTGATGACTGTGATTTTATTACTGACGACTGTGATTTTATTACTGATGTGATTTTATTACTGATGACTGTGATTTTATTACTGATGTGATTTTATTACTGATGACTGTGATTTTATTACTGATGTGATTTTATTACTGATGACTGTGATTTTATTACTGATGTGATTTTATTACTGATGTGATTTTATTACTGACGACTGTGATTTTATTACTGATGTGATTTTATTACTGATGACTGTGATTTTATTACTGATGACTGTGATTTTATTACTGATGACTGTGATTTTATTACTGATGTGATTTCCTTACTGATGACTGTGATTTTATTACTGATGTCTGTGATTTTATTAATGATGACTGTGATTTTATTACTGATGTGATTTTATTACTGACGACTGTGATTTTATTACTGATGACTGTGATTTTATTACTGATGACTGTGATTTTATTACTGATGACTGTGATTTTATTACTGACGGTGATTTTATTTTATGTACTGATGACTGATTTTATTTTGTGTTATTACTGATGACTGTGATTTTATTACTGACGACTGTGATTTTATTACTGATGACTGTGATTTTATTACTGACGACTGTGATTTTATTACTGACGACTGTGATTTTATTACTGATGACTGTGATTTTATTACTGACGACTGTGATTTTATTACTGATGACTGTGATTTTATTACTGACGACTGTGATTTTATTACTGATGTGATTTTATTACTGATGTGATTTTATTACTGACGACTGTGATTTTATTACTGACGACTGTGATTTTATTACTGATGTGATTTTTTACTACTGACGACTTTGATTTTATTATTAATGATTGTGATTTTATTACTGACGACTGTGATACGTATCGGTGTCTGTCGGCTACATATAGAGGCCCTCACGTGACAGACGCTAGGGTAAGACACCTGGTCATCCCCACACACGTAATTGGGATTTGTCACTGCCGGACACACTGACCGGCATCGCACACAGTGGGGAAGTCCGTTTTGGTCCTCCAGGCACTGAGTTCCGGTTAAACATTTAACTCTCTTACATGCACCTGTCAAACCATAACAAAATGTTGTTTGTAATAAAAATCGAAAGATTATGGCACATAACGATATGTCATAGGTCATATATATATATTATAGCTCAGAATAAACAACCTATGTTTTAGGACGAAGACGTACATGTATCCCGGTTTTGAAATGTTAGATATCGTCAAGAATTTTTTGGAAGTCAGTTTCGCCTGAGAAATTCGAATATACAGATATAACTCGACTCACGTTTACACTTGCCAAAGTAGGCAACGTGTGTCTGTTGGTTCTTTCTGCAATTTCTTTTGAGCATGTGACAATAGTTCTTGTAGTTGACACTATCAGTTCCACACAAGGAACCACGCTTCCGCATTTCGTTCGTACATCGGGGCCTACACACGCACTTAGGTACCCCCTTCCGCATCCGGCAAACACGACCCGGGGCACATCGGATGTTGGCACAACTATCTAGGGTAAAGGAGGAAAACATGAGAGGTGTTCCGAATAAAAGCTAATGACAAAGAGTAATGACACGTGCATGTTAAACTAGACCGTACTTTACATAATAGCAGTAGTTGTAAATGTATGTTAAAAACGTATACCATGTGATGTAGATAAAGAATAAATCGATATTATTTAGATGTGTCTCACAACCGAGAAAAATCTCCTCTGTTTGAGGGTAGACAATTCGATGTCTCTATTGTCCTCTATAGTCACAGACAGATAATATGCTCATTGATTCTATAATGGTCATCATATCACAATACTGCATGCACCAAAATAAAACAATTAAGGTTCTCCACGTATTTTTTTGGTAGAAAATTGTGTGAGAAAATTGGTGAATAGTTCCAGTATGATTAAGATAAAGAAAGTCCGTTTTATGAGGTAAAAAGGTACAATTCTGTCACTAGATAAAGCCTCGTGCTAAACTTGAGGTTCGACAATCTGTTTTCATCACAATGTTGAATTGTATTGACACATCTGGTATTTGTTGACACCAACAACTGACGGTAAGGATCGTGTCACCAACACTTACTATGGCAACGTTGGCAGTGTGACACGCTCTTCATTAGTGCCTTCCAATAAAACACCTGTCCGTTGGTGAGAAGATCAGATGGGGACCAGCCTATGGAGGGGGAGAAAGTCCGACAGCAGTCCTCTCGGGTAATATTGGCTCTGTACAAGGTACTGCAAGAATTGGACGGTGAAATGTTGGCCCAACAAAGGCCCCCTATAATAAAACAAATCGTGTCAGATGTGTAAAGCAGTCAACATTTTAACTTCTGCCGAAATCGTTACGTAATAGCGAATCATTGCACAAGACAAAGTGACCGACACTGTTTAATAAAACCAAGCATGATTAAGCGGTAATCAATCAAAGTAATAATAGCAAAATTTCCACTAAGATATATTTATGATAGTTAGACCAGTCGAAATATATCAATACTGAGTACAGCGGTCAACACAAATCAAACACTGATTACAGAGGTCAAAATTTCCACTAAGATATATTTATGATAGTTAGACCAGTCGAAATATATCAACACTGAGTACAGCGGTCAACACAAATCAAACACTGATTACAGCGGTCAAAATTTCCACTAAGATATATTTATGATAGTTAGACCAGTCGAAATATATCAACACTGAGTACAGCGGTCAACACAAATCAAACACTGATTACAGCGGTCAACACAAATCAAACACTGAGTACAGTGGTCAACACAAACCAAACATTGAGTACAGCGGTCAACACAAACCAAACATTGTGATTGACACAAACTAAACACTAATCACTCAGGTCAACACCAACCAAACATTGAGTACAGCGGTCAATACAAACCAAACACTGAGTACAGCGGTCAACACCAACCAAACACTGAGTACAGCGGTCAATACCAACCAAACACTGAGTACAGCGGTCAACACCAACCAAACACTGAGTACAGCGGTCATTACAAACAAAACACTTAGTACAGCGGTCAATACAAACCAAACATTGAGCACTGTGTTCAACATAAACCAAACACTGTGATAAATACAAACCAAACACTGAGGTAAACTTACAACCAAACATTGAGTAAACCGGCGAACAATAACCAAACACTGAGTACAACGGTCAACACAAAGAAGACTTCAAGGACAACGACCAACACAAATATTGTGAATGTCACATCAAGTCATGGCGCTCTCTTCAAGTGCGAGAAATAATTCAATAATCACTATACGGTAGAGAAATTATAGTTGTCGACGGAATCTAACACTACGCTGTATTAAACGAAATTGATAAGCTCGTTTGTTGGATGTTTTAATACTGAGTCTTCACCCAATCAGTAAGTTACACCACACAATAACCCAGATATCACATAATTCGGTATGTGGTCTTCCGAGAAAGTCAAACCGCCGGGATTAAGGATCGAACCACATGACTCTACCAACAAATCCATCGTGGTCATCCGGAAAAAAAGAGTTCAATACATGTAATATAACACTGTGTATAAACACTAGTTTTAGGATCACTATCATTTATCACACACGTTATTTACAACTATTTAATGCGAGTAATTCTATACTAAGTTTGATAGAAATGAGATATAGTAATCAGGATGAAACAGCTTTAAATGCCAAACGTATGTCTGTATGGGTTCACTAATAAGTTTCTGTTACATGTCACCTTTAGCTTTGTTTATATAACTATAATGCTGTAATCCGTCACCGAATCCACCAACAGCTATGATGTGGTTTTAAAGGTTAACGTTAAGCTATAATTTATTGTTGGGACTTGTGGAATGTTTTACATCAATTGTAAAGCATACCTGGACATTTATACATAAATAGTATGTAAATGGTCGACCGTAGACACGAGTTGGCGCAAAACTGTTATTTCTTTTCTTTTATAGATCATTTAAAACATGAACGTAAAACTTTTTATCCTTTTCGTCAGAACGTTTTTCACCAACATGTTTATGTGTTTACGTATTTAAAGATATTTTTCCGAAAAAAAAGTTTGTTAAATTACGTCGCTCTTTCCGCAGCCTTAAATCAGTCGTAACTTAAAACTTGAATGTCCCTTGTTCAGAACGATTGCCGTACGAATCCTTACGTCTTTAAATAACCAATTTAACGCATTAATTAATCTTAGTAAGTTAGTTTGTTTGTCCTTTGTTTACACGGGATTTGACGCAAAGACCAGTGTCACATGAGGACGGACGTGAAGGGTACACGGAGAATGGTAAATAAACTATGGAGAGGAAGAGAAATACAGAACAACATTACAATTATCGTAAGGGTCTCTTAAATGACCCCTTGGTAGTAAACACGAAGGGCTTATAAAATCACCCCAACAAAGGCATCTAGCTACCATCCTCGATCTGCAAGGAGTATCATACAATTAGTTACCTCTTACGACGTGCAGTGAGACACAACGAAGATATTCTCTGCTCGTCACCTGCACGCGTCACGAAGCTATTTCAGTATGTTTAGCAAATGATTAAATAGCAATATTTGTAATGTTTTTATTTTCCACAAAATTTTAGAGTCTATAAATTACAAAAGACAACACTTTTCTTTCGTGTTTTCCTCCATTCCTTGTTTCATGTTTTCCCCCAATTCCATGTTTCATGTTTTCCCTCCATTCCTTGTTTCATGTTTTCCTTCCATTCCTTGTTTCTTGTCCCCCCCCCATTCCTTGTTTCATGTCCCCTTCCATTCCTTGTTTCATGTCCCCTTCCATTCCTTGTTTCATGTTTTCCTTCCATTCCTTGTTTCATGTCCCCTTGCATTCCTTGTTTCATGTTTCCTCCATTCCTTGTTTCATGTCCCTCCCCCATTCCTTTTTTCATGTCCCCCCTCCCCCCCCCCATTCCTTGTTTCATGTTTTCCCTCCATTCCTTGTTTCTTGTCCCCCCCATTCCTTGTTTCATGTCCCCTTCCATTCCTTGTTTCATGTCCCCTTCCATTCCTTGTTTCATGTCCCCCCCCCCATTCCTTGATTCATGTTTTTACCCATTCCTTGTTTCATGCCCCCCCCCCGTTCCTTGTTTCATGTTACCTGCCTTAGTTACAAGTTTTCTCCGCTAGACTAGATTACCTGCCTTAGTTACAAGTTTTCTCCGCTAGACTTGATTACCTCCCTTAGTTACAAGTTTTCTCCGCTAGACTAGATTACCTGCCTTAGTTACAAGTTTTCTCCGCTAGACTTGATTACCTCCCTTAGTTACAAGTTTTCTCCGCTAGACTAGATTACCTGCCTTAGTTACAAGTTTTCTCCGCTAGACTTGATCACAAGTTTTCTCCGCTAGACTGCTCATTTTATTTTCGAAGTGAAGTGTAGCGGAGAGGAGGGAAACAGTACAGCGAATGTACAAGTAGCTGTAAAACTAAAACCCTAGAGGGTACTCGGAGGTAAGATATTGTCGTTTGTATTTACCGGTAGAGACATTACTGACCATGTGACGGTCTCATTGTTTCAGGGAGTTCTACAGTTACATTTAGAAATATAGAGGATCATTGTAAAATTATTTCACATAACGTGTGGGGTGTACCTGTCCCGAACTGTCATGAAGTTAGAAGGTAACAGATATGTTTGTCTTCATTAAAACAATTCATAAAATTATAATTCAAGTTATCTGTTGTGTACATCAATACATTGAGTAAATAATCTGGGTTAAAGCTTTGACATGTAAGTATTAGTGTTATAGACTGACATAGATGTACGGCCTAAAGTTTGTGTAGTGAAGGGAAGTATTCGAACCGTTTAATCACATCTGCTCTCCGTTTAATTGATGACTTACTTATATGTTTCAGATGGATAATCCTTTACACGCTTACGTCTCGTGTAACCACAGGACTAATTATTATGAAAAAGCAGTCGAACCAACAGGGACTTGTAACTTTAACACATATAGATGGACCGTAGTCAGACTTGTCATTTCTGGGCACACATCGGGGGACTTGTAACTTTAACACATATAGATGGACCGTAGTCAGACTTGTCATTTCTGGGCACACATCGGGGGACTTGTAACTTTAACACATATAGATGGACCGTAGTCAGACTTGTCATTTCTGGGCACACATCAGGGAAGATAATATCCAGGCGATATATTTGTGGGACAAATTGTATTTATAACATTACGTTAATCGGTAAATAGTTCAATCTGTGAATTTTCATACGCATAATTAAAAATCAGTTTTAAGATAGGATCCCATGTGACTATTTATTATCGTATAGTATGTACTCACCAAACGTCAGCATCCCCTAGCCCAAATACTACCAATTGTGACGCATATTTGATTAAATACCACAAGTATCTGTGCTCTGTGCTTTTTTGTTTACAAAGATATGACATGTATACCAAATACAAGTTTCAGTTACAAGCACAGTTTGCTGAATGTGATTCAGTGATCGGGTGCCGAAGTGGCAAAGCATTCGGCTTTCACCTAGACGTCCGAGGTTCGATTCCCGTAACAAAACGTCGCCAGAACACTGACGCTCGTCGATGAGATTTCCTCCCTTATGCGCTTTCTTCCGGTCCAACAAGGATGAATAATTTGGAATAACCTGTTTCACAATTGTTGTTAAATAAATAATGTTGAAAGCTTTGCCTTATGAATAACGTTCTTTTATTCTTAGGCTCATGGAAGTGTGGACGGATAAGGTTATTTACTCGTCTGTCAGATGTTACATCAAACGACTTCTCTGTTCAACTCAACAAAAACTTAACACAATCAATACATCATCATATATATATAACGAATAATCATAGAAAAAAACATTGTTTTCCTGGTAAGATATTACCACGCCATGTAGACACAGATTGGTAGATAAATGTCAAGAATAATGGAATCGTAGATATTCTATAAATAAACTATAGAAAAAGGACAACTGGTCTAAATGTGAGAGTGACGATTTTACGCACGTGCAACACTAAAACGTAACATTCAGAGAGTTGTGATTATATCAGTTTACTAACAATAATAAGATGTCGGTAATATAAAATGAATTTAATCTGAATGTTTGGCACGAAAAGTAACTTCGATTTCATCATTTCTCCAAAGGTACACCCCAGGTACATCTTTTGTTTTTGTCAAATAAATGTATAACGACACGTTTAAATTTCTCAGTGTTTCTAATGTGAATGTAGATCTTCCTGAAACAATGAGATCACGGTTTGATCTCTTACATTACGTCAGATAAGCGAACACAAATATTTCCTTACCACCTCCAAC